CATATTCACATTCAGGGAACATGAGCCCTGGAAACGGCTACGCCAGTCAATTTTGACTATCGTCGGGTGTGAGTTGTCTTATGGAAATTGTTTCTTAAAAAAGTAAGCTTCTGGCTAACTAGATGTAATTTAATTGCTTACAGAGTTTATCTTACTAAGTTTTTTGTTTTTTAATATTAGAAATCTCAAACGAGCATGAACCACTTGCAAAAAGTGTAACACGATGAACTAGCAGATGTTTGAAATTAATTTACAAGAAAAAAGGAAGTAATTTACAATATTTTTCTAGATTCTTCGCCAGTTTCGCTGCATTTTCAGAAGCATGGTGCTTTTGGCTATTATAAGGATGCCAATTCCAAAGGAGGCTTTGGGTTTCACTTATAGTACCATAAGCCATATTCACATTCAGGGAACATGAGCCCTGGGAACGGCTACGCCAGTCCATGACTATCGTCGGGTGTGAGTTGTCTTATGGAAATTGTTTCTTAAAAAAGCAAGCTTCTGGCTAACTAGATGTAATTTAATTGCTTACATGATGAACTAGCAGGTATATCTATTTTTTATAATTTTATTTATTTATTTATTTTTTTAAATATATAAATATTTAACAATTTAATATTTTATACTTTTGATTCAAGCATTCTCGATGCGATCAATCAGTACTTTAGCTCGGCAAGAAACTAGATAACACGAATAGCAAGTGATTCAATATCAGTGTTATAAATTAGCCTTATTTTTTATTTTTTATTGTTATTATTTTTTATTTTTTTTTTTACAAATAATTTAATGTAAATAAAAATATATACAAATAAAGAATCAACAGTTTTCTATCTTATCAATTTTATCTGATTGATTTAAGTTTTTCGTATTATAATCGTTTTCTTGTTTAAAAGATCGTTAAATTCTAAAACTCGATCTCATACTGATTTGTTTACCTTTCAATTATGACTCTAACGTTAATTCATTAATTCTATAGTTTGTTCTCATTCGTAAATTCTAAAAAAAAAAAAAAATCAAGTGCAAATAAGTAAATCGGACCCGGTTGCCCGACCCACCCGGGCGCATGTAAATACATCAACGGATAATCCCGATCATGGTTACCGTTACAAAAATAAAAAATTTTTAATAGTATAGATAATCGTTAATATTCGCGTATATTTGAGCTTGATTGGCCGGAATCGAAACGTTCGTGCCACCTATTTCCTTATTTGGACGGTCTCTCCGTGAGTTTAAAATCGACTTTTTGCTACATTTACTCAACGAAAGAACATATAATTTATGGCAAAGGGAACAAGAAACTTACTTTTGTGTATTGGACTTTTATTTCATGTGACGTACATATGGAGTATTTTCGACATATATTTTACGTCACCTTTGGTACATGGTATGACCCCACATAAGGTAAAAAACCTATAATTCACCCTTTATTTCTAGAATTTAAAGATATTTACAGTATTCGGATTAGGTTGATTTACCACCACCTGCACGAAGACTTGTACTTTTTGTTGGTAAGATTCTATTAAAGTAATAATGTGCCAACATAATTTTAACTTTATTTACGTGAAATTTAGTATTACTGTATATAACTACAACAAATATAATTCTGTATAGGTGATGGTTTAAGAGCGGATAAGTTATATCAATTGTATCAAAACGAAACCAACAGTGGTCTATTTACAAGGGCCCCTTTTTTAAGGGATATAGTACTTAATCATGGAACATGGGGGGTTTCTCACACGAGAGTTCCTACAGAATCAAGGCCGGGCCACGTTGCAATAATTGCGGGATTTTATGAGGATGTTAGTGCTGTTACGAAAGGTTTTATCACAGTATCAATAATCAATGTAATAATTTAAATTTGAAATTTTATCTGATTTATCAATTTATTTTCCATAGGTTGGAAAATGAATCCTGTAGAGTTTGATTCTGTGTTTAATCAAAGCAGGCATACATGGTCATTTGGTTCACCGGACATATTACCTATGTTTGCTAAGGGTGCTTCGGATCCAGAAAGGGTTGACACTTTTATGTATGGACATGAAAGTGAAAACTTTGCTGAAGGTAGTTTCTTAAGTTCTTATCTCTGTTACATACTTCTTTAGTTTTAATCTATTATTTTCTTAGATGCCACTGAATTAGACACATGGACATTCAACCAATTTGCCCAACTTTTTACAAACTCGTCATCTGATCCTAAACTTTATCAACAACTTCATGATGATAAAATAATTATGTTTTTACATTTGCTTGGATTGGATTCAAATGGTCATGCTCATGGTCCTCATTCAAAAGAGTATTTGAATAATATTAAAGTAGTTGATGATGGAATTTACGAAACAATACAATTACTTGATAAATTTTACGGCAACGATAAGAAGACTGCTTATATTTTTACTTCTGATCATGGAATGAGCAATAGGGGTAAGCAAGTTATAATATGAATAACTATTAAATTAGTTGATTATTTGATTCTAATTTGCGTATATAATCAGGCAATCATGGTGATGGACATCCGGATAACACACGTACTCCAATAATTGCATGGGGAGCAGGGATAAGTAAACCTAACAAGGAAAATCCAAGCGGGCATGATGAATTTTCTATGGATTGGCAATTAAATAGTGTTCAACGTAATGATATACTTCAAGCTGATATTGCTCCCTTAATGGTAAGTTTTATGCCACTTATTTAAGGCTAAAATAATGTAATTTTAAACCTAATGGATATTACGATTTTTAAAGGCTTCTTTGATAGGGATTAATTATCCTGTAAATTCAGTTGGTGAATTGCCTTTGAAATATCTTAATAACACACCATTGTTCAAAGCCCAAAGCATCTTTGTAAATGCCAAAGAAATTTTGGAACAATACAAAGTTAAATACGGTTAGCTAATAGAACTGTTAGTTTATCTTCAAGTTGTTTTGTTTCTTATCATTAAGATTTTTTTCTTTTGTTAACTTATTAATTTTCTTTAGAATCAAAAAAGCGAACAAAATTAATGTTCAAACCATTTGCTCCTCTGAGCAATTCTACACATTCTCCCAATATGTTCATAAAAGATATTCAGCACCTAATCGATACCGAAAATTATGTAGAAGCCGAAAATTTGTGTAGGATATTAATTAGCCTCTGTTTGGAAGGACTGAGATATTTCCAAACGTACGTGTGTGATATATATATATTTTTTAATTAAACTAATTGATCTGTATTTGCGTAAATAACATACTCCACTGCACTTCATCTATAGATATGACTGGTTTATGCTAAGGTCTATAGTTACGGCT